GTAAACATTTTCCTTTCTTTAACGCATTTTTTTAATGTTTATGTATTTATTTTGAGAGAACACATGTGCATGCACGAGCAGGACAGGGACAAGGAGACAGGGAGAGAGAGAATCATAAGCAGGCTCCACACAACACGAAGCCCCATGCAGGGCTTCGATCCCACAACCATGAGATCATGACCTGAGCCAAAATCAAGAACTGGATGCCTAACCAACTGAGCCACCCAGGTGCACCTAAACATATTCCTAAGTAGTAGTTAAAACATGAATAAAATTTAAAGTTAGATCTGGGCTCAAATTCAGATTCTACCATTTACTTACTATCTGTGTGACTTCAGGCAAGTATGCATCTTCTCTGTGTCTAGGTTTTCTCATCTATGAACTGAGGCAATTTTACTAATTGTCTCGCAAGTTTATAAAGGAGAATTCAAGTAAAATTCTTAGCACAACATTTGACATATGCCAAGAACACATTAAACAATTATTATTATTATCCAAAAAGGGGATCTTAATGGCACCATAATATTAGATGCTGAACATTTGTGTTTTTTCAAACTTTCCACTACAATAAATCTGAAATCTTGGTCTATATGTCTTGCTCATAAATCTTGGCCTAATGTCTTTGGTTGTTCCCTTAAACTCAAGAGCTAACATATTACACCAAACTTTTTTATTTTCAAGTGAAGTTTTAACAGAAAGGGAGAATAAATAAAATCTATTAATAAGGGAATGCTGAGAAACTGAAATGCTTGGTGAAACAAGCAAAAACCTCTCCCTGGGGTAGCTGAGATGGCTCAGCATGAGGAAAGTTTGAAAATCACTGAGCAAGAAACAAATGTTAAAGTCCTCTCTCTCACTGGAATAAACAATGGGTTGCCAGAATGTGATTGTTCTGGTGCTGTGCCGCAGGCAAACACAGAACAATAGCACTGTGGCTATTTCTTTTAAGCATTCCACAGCTAGGAAGAAATTCAAGCCCTATAAATCCTGTATTCTTTCACAAAGATACTAAGCTTAAAGTGAATGGTTTAGTTAACTCCCTGTATGTAATACAAGCAGTGAACAGATTTTAATGCCACTGGGTAGATCAGTAAAGAAATAAGCTAGACTTTTCATAAACCTATCCTATTAGGAAAAATAAAATGTGGTTTTGGCTACATTAACCTGATTTTCTGCTTCCCTATTATACCAGCACTCAACTGTCAATCAAGTCATAAGTGTAAGAATCAAAGAAATGGTACTTCTATCATAAATGGATTGGAAATGTTCCATAGCAAACTTCTCTTTTTTAATTTAGTGTTTATTTATTTTTGAGAGAGAGAGAGAGAGAGAGAGAGAGAGAGAGAGAGAGAGAGAGAGCACAAGCGGGGAGGGGCAGAGAGCGAGGGAGACACAGAATCCGAAGCAGGCTCCAGGCTCTGAGATGTCAGCACAGAGCTCGATGCGGGGCTCAAACTCACAAACCGCAAGATCATGACCTGAGCTGAAGTCGGACACTCAACTGACAGCCACCCAGGTGCCCACGTTCCATAACAAACTTAATTAAAGCATCAAAAGAATTTCTTATCCATCTATAAAAGGCCACTAACTAATCAAAGTAATGCCTATTTAGGTGCAACATTCATAACTCTTTTCAAGGTTCAAACAAACCAAAAAAATGTTAGGCATTAAATTACATCCAAATAAAATATTTTATGGAGATTTTGGATAAATATGTTCTATAAGAGATAATAGGCTCAATGCTAACATTCAATAATTAAGTTTTCTGAGGCCATCAACTTTGCTAAAGAAATTAAAATAAAACAAAATTTGCCTTAGTTTGCTTTTATTTAAATACTTTTTGAAAATGCGGGAATTAGAAAATACATAATAGGGGGGCCTGGGTGGCTCAGTTGGTTAAGCGGCCGACTTCGGCTCAGGTCATGATCTCGCGGTCCATGAGTTCGAGCCCCACGTCGGGCTCTGTGCTGACAGCTCAGAGCCTGGAGCCTGTTTCAGATTCTGTGTCTCCCTCTCTCTGACTCTCCCCCATTCATGCTCTGTCTCTCTCTGTCTCAAAAATAAATAAACGTTAAAAAAAAAAAAGAAAATACATAATAAAACAATACAAATTATAAACAAATAATGTAAATTACTCTGTGGAAAATAAGAGATATAAATTATAAAATAATCCTAAACTTCCCAGAGTTTGCAGGTTACAATATTCCCTATTGAAGTATCAAGCCTGCAACCGCAGCTTGTTTTTAAAACAGGTGTCCAAGAGAATGTCACTTGATCTAACGTGTCCTTGCTTTGGTAAGTGATACTGACACTGAGGCCAAGAATAAGAATTATGCTTTGACTAGGTCTCTGAACTGACCACAGTCTATTCAAGCTACTTTAGCATTTGAACACCAAGCAAATATGCTTATGTTAATTACCGCCATGTGATCTTCACATGAATTAATCCCTGTTCCTATTAACTTTCCTAGTAAATGAAGCTTTAATGCTTAACTGATAACAAAGTGCTGGGATAATCCAGAGCAATACAAATTTAACAGATGAGGGAGCAATAAGTAATGGCCATTCATCTTATTAATATAATACATATTTATTTCACATGGCAGAAAGACTGTGTATTAAAATTACATCCTGGCCTAGCGTTAAAACTGAAACCAAGATAGGTAGGGAGGGGCGGGAATGTAATTCCTATTTAGATGTTCATATTTTCTCCACAGTAAGTTTTTCACGTGTTGGTACTGATGATTATAGGATGTCACAGAATTTGATAATCAGACAATATGAATCAACAACTGATAGGGTTTGACAGTTTGTTAACCCATCCAGTAATTACTTGCTTACAACAGCATACAAATAGCAGTGACTCCAATCTCCATAAAGGGTATTTTTATTCAGAATATAGTATCCCTAACCACCAGTCTAGGTAACCAAAGTACCATAACTTCTCAAAACAAATGTTACAAGTCAGAACTTGTTTTTTATTTGATTAATATTAATCCTAAAAATATAACAACTAAATACAGTTGGTAATTAAAAATATAGTTTCATTTATTGGAACAAAGCAGTACCATGCTAGAATCTATCTATAGTACTACTTTTAGGAAACTGACTCTACCCAAATTGATATTATGGCTTGAACAAGTGGGTCTAGAGTCACGCATGATCTGTTCAGGTAAAATATCCACAAATGCTTTCTGTGTGTTGGTTATTGTCTAGACTTTGATTTTTTCCTCCTTGTCCCCATAACTATTATAACTACTCCCACTGCTACTGGCTCATTCTTATTAAGCAGGAACTCAAGATGGAAAACACATTTAAGTGAAAAAAAAAAAACAGCTTACAAAATATTGTATTATAATTCTATTTCTGTAAAATCACAAGTGTCCTTATAGATGTGTGTTTTAAAAATGAGAGTTCAAATACTAGTAGTGTTTATCTTGGAAGGTAGAATTACGTACGAACTTTTATTTTTGCTTTCTGTTTTATTATTTTTGAAACGTACAATGAACATTTAAGATGAAAAATCTACTTTATTTTTTTTTAATTTTTTTTTTAAACATTTATTTATTTTTGAGACAGAGAGAGACAGAGCATGAGTCAGGGAGGGTCAGAGAGAGAGAAGGAGACACAGAATCCGAAGCAGGCTCCAGGCTCCGAGCTGTCAGCACAGAGCCCGATGCGGGGCTCGAACTCACGGACTGTGAGATCATGACCGGAGCCTAAGTCGGACGGACGCCCAACCGACTGAGCCACCCAGGCGCCCCAAAATCGACTTTATTTTTAATCATGTACTGTGTACTGTGTCCTTGACATATTTATTATTTAATAGTGGGTCAATGAAAAGAATATTTATATTTGGTTCTTAAATAGCAATAATTATATAATAGAGTAGGGTAAAATGCAAGCAAGCCTTAACGTTATTCAGCTTTAGACAAGCCACTGTTTCAACTATTTCAAAACAGGATAAATTAAAAATGAGGAGTGAGCTTGAAGAGTCATTTCAACCTATTATTTATTACTGCCAACAAGGCGACTCACAGAAGCAACAAGGTCCTGCTGGTGGGATCCCTGCCATCAACATTCATATCTACACCTTCTAACATTTTAGAAATTACTTAAGAAATGCTCAGAGGTTTACTAAGTGGCAATATAGTGCACTCACATAAGATCTCTGGGCCTTTTTTCCCTTATGGAATTTAACAGACAATAAAACAGATTTGGATACAAAAGTATTTTAAAGAAGCAGGTTATGACCTAATCTAAAATTGAAAGCATTTATGAATAGATCCAAAGGTAATTATATCTTTCAGTACTTAGGTATTCAAAAATCCAATCTTTTTTTCTCTAGGGCTCAAAGTTCTTTACTTCTGTCACTGGTTATTTTTCATCTAAATGAAAAGTCCTCACGTTTACAATCTGTAAAAGAATGAAGTTCAGAGAAATAATCTTCAGGGTCCCTTTGAGTCTTAAAATTTTATTACTCTCTGAAAGGCCATATTAATCATTATTTTTTCTTAGTTTTGACAGGAATTAATAACTGAGATATTTTTAGCTTTATTTACAGAGTCCAGAATTACTTTTCATTACAAGAGATTCTAAGAAATATATATATTTTTATTTATCACTTCAGTGACTACATAAAAATATAGCAAGAATATTTTCACTAATAAAATCTGAAATCGGGGCGCCTGGGTGGCGCAGTCGGTTAAGCGTCCGACTTCAGCCAGGTCACGATCTCGCGGTCCGTGAGTTCGAGCCCCGCGTCAGGCTCTGGGCTGATGGCTCAGAGCCTGGAGCCTGTTTCCGATTCTGTGTCTCCCTCTCTCTCTGCCCCTCCCCCGTTCATGCTCTGTCTCTCTCTGTCCCAAGAATAAATAAAACGTTGAAAAAAAAAATTTTAATAAAAAAAAAAAATCTGAAATCATTCAAAATAATAATAAAAAAGAAATTAACATTGGTATTAAGTACTTTCAAGAAAATTCCAAAAACGAATAACCCACCTGATGACCTGGTTACAGTGGGCACACATTGGAGTTCGTTTCCCTGCAGGAATGTGCTCAGCTCTTTGCACTAAAGTGCCTTGGTCATGTGACTGGGGCTGTCCCCTGGCTGAGTTGGCTGGTGCTACTGCTCCTGATGAGGCTGCACTGTTTGAGATTCTTCCACTGGAAAGTGCTAGGAATTAAGACACAGAAGAATCAGAATGAAAATAAGCCAAATATAAAGTTTTTCTAATATTCAAATAATAATATTACTTTGTAAAATCATCTATTCATATATAGCAACACAGGCCTACCTCAAGAAGCAAGAAAAATCTCAAATACACAACATAACCTTACACCTAAAGGAGCTAGAAAAAGAACAGCAAAGGAAGCCTAAAGCCAGCAGAAGAAAGGAAATAATAAAGATTAGAGCAGAAATAAATGATACAGAAACAAAACAAAACAAAAACCTAGAATAGATCAATAAAACTCAGAGCTGGTTCTTTGAAGGAATTCATAAAACTGATAACCCCCTAGCCACGCTTATCAAAAAAAAGAGAAAGGACCCAAATAATAAAAATCATGAATGAGAGAGGAGAGATCATAATCAACACCACAGAAATGCAAACAATTATAAGACAATATTATGAAAAATTATATGCCAACAAACTGGGCAACCTGGAAGAAATAGATAAATTCCTAGAAACATAAACTATCAAAACTGAAATAGGAAGAAATAGGACATTTGAACAGACTGATAACCAGCAAAGAAATTGAATTCGCAGTAAAAAATCTCCCAAGAAACAAGTCCAGGGCCAGATGGTTTCTCAGGGAAAATCAACCAAACCTTTAAAGAGAAGTTAATTCCTATTTTTCTCAAACTGTCCCAAAAAATAGAAATGGAAGGAAAATTTTCCAACTCATTCTATGAGGCCAACATAACCTCAAAAAATTAAAAATAGAAATACCAGGGGTGCCTGAGTGGCTCAGTCAGTTAAGCGTCCAACTTCAGCTCAGGTCATGATCTCATTGTTGGTGGGTTCAAGCCCCATGTCGGGCTCTGCGCTGACAGCTCAGAGCCTGGAGTCTGCTTCTGGTTCTGTATCTCCCTCTCTCTCTGCCCCTCCCCCACTCGCACTCTGTCTTTCTCTGTCTCTTGAAAATAAATAAATGTTAAAAAAGCTATTTTAAAAACAGAAATACCATATGATCCAGTAATTCCACTATGGGGTATTAACCCAAAGAAAACAAAAACAGTAATTCGAAAATATATATGCAACCCTACGTTTTCTGTTACATTATATACAACAGTCAAAATATGGAAGCAACATAATGTATCCATCAACAGATAAGGAAGATGTGGTAAAGATATATAATGGACTATTACTCAGCCATACAAAGGAATTAAATCTTGCCATTTGCAACAACACGGATGGACCTAAAGTGTATTATGCTAAGTCAAATAAGGCAGGAGGTTGGGGGGATGGGAGAAATGGGTGGAGGGGATTGAGAGATATAAACTTCCAGTTATAAAATAAATAAGTCATGGTGATGAGAAATACAGCATAGGGAATATAGTTAAAAGTACTGTAATAACATTTGTATGGTAACAGACGGTAACTACATTTACTATGGTAAGCATGGTATAATGTATAGAATGGTCAAAAACCACTATGTTATACACCACTATGTTATACAACTAATATAACATTGTATGTCAACTATACTTGATAAAAACTTTTAAAATAATAATAATTATTTTCAGGCAGGAAGACACACACATTTCAAGATAATGGATTAGCTTTGGGAAAGACACAAAGGAAGTGAGTAAAATTGCAAAGGGGCTTCAATCACATCTGTAATACTGTATTAAATATTAAAGCAAATGCAGAATTATATAAAAAAAAACCTATTCATTTGCTTATTCACTCACTCACATTTATGGAGACACTATGGATCAAACACTGGACTGTGACTACAGAAATAAACAGAAAAGAAAATCAAGGATTACAACACAGTGAAAGAGTCTTAAAATTTTATTACTGTCTGAAAGGCCACATTAAATGTTTGTTTTTTTTTTTTTCTTAGTTTTGACAGGAATGAATAAGCTAGAAAATTGGTATATTTAGCTTTATTAAGTCTGGAGTTACTTTTCATTACAAGGGATTCTAAGAAATGTGTGTGTGTGTGTGTGTGTGCGCGCGCGCGCGCGTGCGTGCATTATACCTATATATATAAATACATACAAACATAAATATAAAAATAAATATATATAATGTGTTATAAGAAAAGCAGAGTTGCCTCTGCTTCCAAGAGGAGATGCAGTTAAGCTGAGCATTGACAGCAAGGTACTTCTACTCATCTAGACATCTCTGCTAATCATCAGATAGATTTAACTCCAAGTACATCAGAGGCACATTAAATATCTCAATGTGTTACAAGATAATAAAAATAAAAATGAACTCAATGTATTACCTCTCTTCCTGTATTCTCTAAGTAGACTGTAAAATCGGTCATCCAGTCATATAAGGTAGCTACTTAAGAACCATTCTAGGACCTTCCTCTCTCTCATCTGTGGTAATAATGGGTCCTGCTGATTTTACATCACAAGTACTTCTTGGTTTTGCCCGTCATCACCCATTCCGACAATACCGTCCTGGTTTAGGTCCTGAATCTCTCCCACTTTGCTGGTCGCCAAAATGTCTTATCCTTCAATGCATCCTCCCAACTGCCACCAAGGACTGAAATCTTATCAGGTCACAACTCTGATACACCACTTCAAGCATCTCCTTCTTCTCTGACCACTGAATGTAGTCCATGCTTCTAAGCACTGCATTCAGGGCCCTCCAAGTGCTCTCTGCCTGCCCCACAGTCTCACTGCTCACCACCCTTTGCCTCAGTCTTCATGCTGCAGCAACGCCCAATGCCTCAAGTTTTCTTGTAAGTCCATCTATGCACAGGCTGTCTTCACTGTCCTTTCTCTCCCCTTCTCTCTATTTACCTAGTAGCCACTACATAGCATTTAAGATTCAACCCAGAAGTCAACTGCTCTAAAAATCTTCCCTGAAGTACCTCTCCCCACTGCCCATGCCACATAACCCAGATTAAATGTTTCTCTTTCACATTCCCATAATTTTCTGTGAATAACTTTATTACTGTTTCTACTTCACATATCTGTGCCTCTTCCTCCCCAACTAAAAAGCAAGCTCCCTGAGGGCAGGAACTATGCCTTATTCCTCAGCCTAGGAGCTAATACGGTGTTTGGAATGAATGAACAAATGAATCAACGAATGAACTGGAATCAATACATAACTGAATGGGGCACCTGGGTGGCTCAGTCAGTTGAGCGTCCAACTTTGGCTCAGGTCATGATCTCATGGTTCATGAGTTTAAGCCCCACACTGGGCTCTCTGCTGTTAACGCAGAGCCTGCTTTGGATCCTCTGTCTCCCTCTCTCTGTCCCTCCCCGACTCGTGCACACATGCTCTCTCTCTCAAAATAAATAAACATTTAAAAAACATAAACGAATGTAAAAACTGTGACAACTTGGAACCAACAGGAGGGCTGCTCCTTACCCACAGGCAATTACGATGTAGTGGAAAAGACATATATTCAAAAAACATTTAAAAGGACTAACTCTTATTTATAATAAATAAATAATAATATAAATTTACTGCATGTGTGTGTATTGACAGGATTCATTTTACAGCTGTGGTTTTAATTGGTAAGATTAATTGGGCTAATTGAAAGAATAACTCTCCCTTACCAGAATAAAGCCTGTTTGCAATGATGGGCAATTACAGATTCAGAAACCCAGCTTTTATAAACACATAGCACATCTACAGGGCTCTCTGCCTGGCACTTGAGCCGTGAAATGCCATTTTACAGACCAGTGAGCTTTACCATTGCCCTTGTTTCAAGTGACTCAACTGGGCTAGGAAAATGTTTTCACTCCCTTAGATTCATGCTTCCTCATATAGAAATGGGAAAGAATATTACTGTGTACATTCTTCTTCCTTGTTACTGCATTTACTTGCACAGCACAACTTGCTCCTCTGTGCGTCTTCCATTTCTGTATCCAGACCTGATTTCTCTTAGAGCAACAGATAAGCATTTTCAATGCCAATTCCTGTTCTTGTCTTTAAATTCAAGATATGAAAAATGGATTTCATCTTTTTGCACACATTACCTCAGAACTCCTTCCTGTATGTCTGAATTCTGACACTTAGTGAGGCACGGCGCTCTGTCTCCTATGTGCCTGACAGTCCGCAGACCCTAACAACTGTTCTGCTGTAAATGTTTCCAAGGTCTGTCCCTTCTTTTTAATCCAACCCATGATCTGTCATTTGAGTCCTGGTCTTGAATCTCTAAAGTCTGGACAACTGCAAGTCTCCTAACCATTCTCTCTGCTGCCAATTTCTTTCCAACCTTTTCTGCTGGATTATTTTCCCAAATACACTACTCTCATCATGGTTTCTTGCTTATTCAGTCTTGACAGCCCAGTCCCTCAAGGAGCTCACTCCGGTCTTCTTTATGACCTTGTCTTTTATGCTCACTCACATCCCTGCCATCACCCTACTCTATTATAGTTACTTAATATTTAACTTGTGCCATCACTATTTGAAGGCACTCTTGTCAAATCCTTATAACAGCTCTATGATTCAGGCAAGATTAGCACCACTTTTTTTTATTCTGAGGCAAAGAATGGTAAGAGACTGGTCCAAGGCCACACAGCAAATAAAAGGCAATCCTGAACCTAGGCGGTTTGGCTCCAGAGTCTGTGTTCTTAACCACTATGCTACAGTTTACTCACTGTCCCTTGAACATGTCAGGTTAGGCCCTGCCTCTATGACCATTAGCCAATGAAATGTCCCTTTCTCCAGTACCACTCATACTTTTCTCCTTCTACAAGGCTCATGGAAGTTCCATTCCCTGAGCTCCCTGCCACCACCCCATCTGCCCTGAAGATCCCAGCTAGCACTGTCCTTGCTCTTTTTTTTTTTTTTTTTTTTTTTTTTTGAGAGAGAGACAGAGAGAGTATGAGCAGAAGAGGGGCAGAGAGAGAGACAGTGAGAAAGAATCCCAAGCAGGCTCCATCCTGAACGCAGAACCTGATGCAGAGCTTGAACTTACAACCATAAGACCATGACCTGAGCCAAAATCAAGAGTCAGACACTTAACCAACTGAGCCAC